TGACCTCTGACTGACGAATCTAGACATAAACTACAGTCTACTGAGAACTTTATTGACGCCATTAAGACAATACAGATACCGGACGACCACAAACTAGTGTCCTTTGACGTGAAATCACTGTTCACGCAGTATTCCGTGACTTCAACTGGCGCTAGAAAGTACTGAGAACGCTATTAAGAACTCTGTTGTTGAACTACCACTACCTACAGACGACATTATGGACCTACTCAACCTCTGTTTGACTTCGACGCACTTTCAGTACAACGGCAAACACTAAAAACAGTTACACGGTACAGCTATGGGCTCGTCGCAGAGAATTCCCAGTCCATTTAGGTCAACAAAAAATTTCTCGTCCGGGTCGGGGTTAGTATTTTGCCGTTTTTAGCCGTGACACTTCTAAATGAAGCATACATGACGTAAAAACAACAAAACGGTCAAAGAGTACTGGAAACAAGTTTGAAAAATAAAAATGATGGCCGAAACGCGGAGAAATTTTTTTGGGCTTTCGAAGACGTTTTCTGGAAGTTTTCTTCGCGCTGGCTACCCCGCACGGGTTCAGGTCAAATTCAAAGGAAAACAAAAAACCCAGTTTTTATCACAATCCTTGGTTTAAAAGACTGTGGTGGTTTTAAAGGCAGACGAGAGGTGTCACGATATCAGGTGGTACCGTTCGCGATTTCTGCAAACTTTGGTTGTAATCTTTCCGCAAAAGTCTACGCAGGTGAAAGTCCATACAAAAATGGCGATGTTTCGGTTGGTTTTTAGCGCGAAAGACCCAGTGAAATCCGATAAGCTGGCATTAGTGGAAGGTAAGATCTTGAATTTGATGTTTCTTGATAGAAATATTCCGGTGCTACCCATTGAGGTTTGGTTACGAGTAACTCACAATCAGAGACAAAAAACTCTCAAAGTCGCTTCAGTCTCATTATTCCGCCATGTCGTGGCTCGAATGTGGCTCTAGCCTGTTAAGTTCCCGGATGTGACCGGGCATTCTACGCGATGCTCCAGTTTCTGTTGTTGTAGCAGAAATTGTCATGCAAAACATCGAGGAACAAGCCCTAGCTATCTACACACGAACTATACCTCTTTGGTTACGTTACGTTGACGACACATTCACCGCCGTACACAAAGACGGAATCGACGATTTTCACGAACACCTTAACAGACAGAACGCTGACATACAGTTCACTAAGGAGATCAAAGAAAATGGTAAGATACCTTTCCTAGACTGCTTGGTCACTCACGACAACAACAAACTGCAAACGACTATTTACAGAAAACTGACACATACCGACCGATTACTAGACCAGTCTTCGTACAACCCGACCTGTCACAAGGCTACTACTATCCGGATTTTGACGAGACGAGTGCAACTAGTTTGCGACTCACCTGACAGCCTACAAGACGAGACTGATTATCTTAACAACGTTTTTAGTAAGAACAATTACAACATGGACTTTGTTTATAGATGGAACACTCACAGTAACGTTGATTCCAACACTCAGACCAACATCAATTCTGGCCCTGTTACGACAGCTCTACTACACCGTACATCAGAGGCACCTCTGAAACTATCGCACGTATATTACAACCTTACAATATACGTATTGCACACAAACCGTTAACCACTTAATAATATACACGAAAAAATTACTCAATTTTTATTGGCTGAGAAAGGAGTGCAGCTCTTCTGTAACATGAGTGAAAAAACTAATGTGAAACACGAGTGCAAACTTGTAACACGAGTGCAAATTACAAATGCTTTCTCATTGGCTAAAAGTACAAAAGAAACCAACAAGAACCAATCAGATTAGAGCTGTTTCTATAGCAACATATTGGCGGAAATTTTGAGATAAGACGCGGAGGAAAATGGCCGGGGTTTTCAGCAAACAACGATTTGGTTTTGCAAGTGAAACAACGATTGAAGAGCTAAAAAATTTTTCCAAAAACCCAAACACAGTAAAGAGTACGTCTTTCTGGCTGAATATATGGGAGACGTGGTACAAACAGAAAAATATTGTCAACAAAATCGAGGAAAACGAGCCAGAAAAGCTAAACAAGCTACTTGAAACATTCTACACTGAAGTAAAAAACAAAAACGGTGACGTCTACGAGCCAGACAGCTTAAGAGTGATGATAGCTGCACTTGATAGACATTTAAACGAGAAAGGATACAAGTTTTCCATCATAAGAGACAGGGAGTTCCACTCTTCCAAGCAAGTTTTAGAGGGGAAAGCTCGGCAGCTTCGCCAATCTGGTATGGGCAGACGTCCAAATAAAGCCAGAAGTTTAACTAAGGAAGAAGAAGAGGTGCTGTGGGAGGCAGAAAAATTTGGTTCCAAAACTCCAGAAGCGCTTATTTCTTCTATGTGGTGGCTTTTGACGCAGTTCTTTGGTCTCTCCGCGCCGTCAAGAACACCACGCAATGAAAATGGAAGATTTTCAACTCTGCAAAAATGACGAAGGTATGGAGTTCGTGCAGTTTACGGAGGTCCAACGAAGACCAGACAGGCGGACTGCAGAGCAAGAACAGAGATTTTCAGCCCGAATGTTCTCTGTTGGAGGAGAAAGGTGTCGGTTGCTATCTTCAAGCAGTTTGTCGGCGAAGACCACTAAACATGTGATGGTCAGGTCCTTTCTACCTCAGTATCAAAAGAAACCGAACACTGAATGACAACATCTGGTTCAAAACTCAACCAATGGGTGTAAACATGATTAGCAACATGATGAAAACAACTGTGGCGGGTACTAGCCTTGAAGAAAGTCTCAAAAAGTTCACGAATCACAGTGCTAGAAAGACAACAGTGAGCAAGCTAAAGAAAGCAAACGTTGAACGCTCAGATATTGTGAAGGTCACAGGCCATCAAAGCGTACAATCCCTTGACGATTACGATGAAGCCGATGAGGAAGAACAACGACGACTTTCCAGTGCAATATCCAAACGAAATTATGAAAACCCCAGTGCTGAGAAAAAGCGAATGGCAGTTTCCGACATCGCAACAACTGTGGCTCCACTCGCTCCGCTAAACACGAAAGTGCCCGTACCACACACATTGGCCGGCCCATCGATGACAGCGACGAAAGAAAACCAATTCCCTCCATCACTTTCAGGTTTTCAAGCTCAGAATTTCTCTGTGAATCCAACCATGATGAGGTGCCAGGAACAGACCATGATTAACACGTTCAACAACTGTCAAGTGTCTTTCATCATTGGCCGCTCGAAGCGAGTTCCTGAGATTTCAAAACGACAGCCCAGTTCTTTTAAACGCCGAGCGTTCATTATTGAGGATGATTCTGATTGAACGTTTACTTTTCCGATTATTGTAAAGCGAGTTTCCTTTACATTAAATGTAAAACGCTTGAAAGGTGTTAAATCAATCCGCACACATTTCCAAGTTCTAATTTGAATGATTTTGAACGTGTCAGTCTTGTAAAACTTTGTATTTGACAAACGTTGTAATCTGTACCAGCCAATCAGTTGAATGAACTAAAAAAAGCGCGCCCCGTAAATTTTTCAAAGACCACAAAGTGCACTCGCCCTACGGGCTCGTGCACTTTTGTTGGTCTTTGAAAAATTGACTCGTGCTTATTTATTCCAAATTGCACTCGAAATCATGTGATTACCTATACTTATGACGGCTGCTTACTAATGTCAAGGACAAAGACAAACCGGAGGACATGCAGGGAGCAGTGTACAAGATCAAAATTATGCTGCGACTGCCAGGCTTCTTACATTGGTGAAACCGGCAGAAACCTTAGCACTCAACTGACCAAACACAAATGAGCAACAAGGAATGGTGACGTCAACAATCACATTGCTGAGTACCATTTTCAGACAAAACATCAAATTGACTGGGACTCTGCGACATGACTGTATAACGTATTCTACAGTCTACTATCAATGTCCAGTACTTTAGAAAGCTGGTTTACTAACTTAGAACAAACGCCACTGAATCGTAGCCAACAGTTACCAGCGCCGTACAAACGACTTATTGACGAGATCAAGCAAACCTAACTACGAGAGAATGATTCGAGAACTGACAATTTGACTAACAATAGATGACTGTTTAACTGTGACAATAGACGGGTCAAAAGGCACCAATTACTGATTACGAGTCTTCATAGCTAATAACATCACGGCTTAACTGACAGACAACCAATAACATCGCAGCATAATTGACGAATCAGATCATCAACCACAGCATAATACCATCAACTGGCATGATACAACTCACTTTGACTCTGAAGTTGACTACCGTAAAGGTTGTCAAAACGTCAGTCACTGTCAACAACTACAGTCCTATTCAGGACTACGTTCACCTGGATGATCAAACACAACCTACTTTTAAAAGGTATTATTTTAGGTTTGCGGTTTGATTTGCATACGTATAATTTTTTCCTTTGTAAAAGCTTAAGTTTTTGCTTGATTTAAAAAACTTTTTTTCAGAACTCAGGGTTTTTTTCCCATAAACTTAGATCATTTTTTTCAAAACTCAGGTTTTTTCAAAGTCAGGTTTTGGTAAAAAAAAAACAACAGTTTTTTATTGTCTTGAACAATCCACAAAAGAGAAGTTCAAAACATTTCATTTTTCTGTAGATATGTGTAAAAGGTTGAAACACTTGGTCACAAGATGCAGTAACATCTTGCAGCAATATGTGATGTTGCAGGGACAAATTACTTTTTGCTTATTTCAAGAATTTTTCTGAAAATCTTGTCTCCGCAACAGAATTTTGCCGCTGCAACAAGTCGCACAAAGAGATTTGTTGCTGCAAAGTGTTATGCTACTTAATGCCTGATTTTTAGTACACAAGTAACTTGCTTTTTTGGGATGAAATGTTGCCTGGTGTGTTCAAACTCTATTAAGTTTTCCCCAACCGTTTTGCTAACAATCCAGTTTAGATTATTGGCAAATACATTCTGGGATATGAACCAAGGGTGGTATTGAAAAATACATGATGTTTGAACTTACCTTATTTCCCCTTTGTCTCCTCCCCAGAACTGGCGTGATGGCCGTGGAGCTCATCAGAATGTAATTTCAGCATCTACAGGTGCTGCTAAGGCTGTTGGAAAGGTTATTCCTGAACTGAATGGAAAGCTGACTGGTATGGCATTCCGTGTTCCTGTTCCAGATGTCTCTGTGGTGGATCTTACCTGCAGACTCAAGAAGGGGGTAAGGCACTGCCTCATTGTATGTTGACCTGTCAGCACGTTTGGTTTTATTGTGTTGATTACCTACATGTAGTGTGACACCAGTCAGAGCATTTTTTTCAATATTTCATTAGCCCTCAGTGGCCAATTCCAAAAATGAATTACAGTTGAACCTCCATATAATATTAATTTGAAAACGCTAGGGTTTTCCCAGTTAAAGCCTTAGAGTTGGACCCTGTCTTAAACGACCACCTCTCGTAAGCAACTGATACCACTTTTCGGGGATGATGGTTAAATAACTTTCCTTTGTTTTCAACGTGCAAAGAAAGTAGTGTCCAATAGCCCGGGGCAACTATAACTACACACATTGCAACTTAGAAATTGCATGCAGTGAATTATCTTCCATAATGAAGATGTGATCTGACCTCTTCTCAGACGACACCCCCTGTGGTTTGATTCTTGTAAGTCATCAACTGTAAGTGACCACCAAATCTGTTCATTTTGGGTGTCCGTTTAAGGGAACTTCGACTTTAATTTTAAATATAGACTGGAAACATAAATTTTTGTTCTGAAGTGTTTTGGCTGAATCACCCAGCCTTCAACAGTTGATTGTACATGGTTTTGTAGCTGTCACAAGACCTTAGAGCAGCCATTTGACGAGAGTATGGTATTGTAGATGTTTGTGTGCTCCATTAAGAGTTAGGCCCTCAACCAAAATGTTTCAGGTTACATTATAAAATGGTGGTAGCCTATATCCTGCACTAGAATTAAACATCCTATCTGTCTCACAGTAAACTGAGCAGACACAAAAAGGACCATGGCAAATCCAAGATGGCCTTTAGTAACAAATGTCTATAATTGTACACGATTATCTAGTTGGTGAAAAATTCATAGTGTGTATGGAACAGGGTTTGCAAATTTTATTGATGAGTGGAGTCAGTGTGACTTCTGCTTCACAAATTTTGGAGTCATATTCAGCGTGCAAAGAAAGTACTGTCCAATAGCCCGGGCCTAGTGGATTTTGCTATTGGGCTAGTGAATTCTGTTTTTATCTTGCCCGACGGGCAAGTGATGTGTTTTGAGGAATTCAAATAACAGAAGAACTGTGAAATCAATTCTGCTTGTCAAAAAGCTTTTGGGGCTAGTTGAAATGATGACTGGGCTAGTAAATGCTAGTTTCAGCTTGCCTGGAAGGCAAGCTGTAAAAAAGATTTTCTTTGCACCCTGCATATTGGAATATTTGGGGTTAAGTATCACAAAAACGAAACAAGCCATTTTCAGACTTTCCAGCACATGGTCTTGGCATGTATACACTATCGTGACGGATACACAAAGTAGCTGTGGCGGTCCGCTAACCTGGAAAGCTCAAATCCATGATGGTGGTCATCGAGTAAACTCTTCCTGTTTTGTTGTGCAGTATTATTCTTTAATTTCAATGATTTAATTAAGGTTTACAACATTTACAATTAATGTAAATTGTATTTGTTACGAAAAAGATAAGAACAAAACTGTGTTTGTTACCGAAAATTTCTGGAGTCGAAGTGACTCCCTCGGTAACCTCAATGGAGTCATCTGAACAATTTTGGCATAAAATAATATTTTATGCCAAATTTGGCGTATTTGTTAACCCTGATGGAAACTGTGATAAAAAATAATACGATCAAACCTCACACAATGGCCACAAGAAATTGGTCAGTGTAGAGAGGTGGCCATCTTAGAAAGGATTAAACAACAGTCAATGTATGGACAGTCTGCCAAAAAAAGTGGTGGCCATTATAGACAGGTGGGGGCCATAAATGGAGGTTTGACTGTATTTGATGCAAAACCTAAATTAATTCAGGCTTACATTTTGTTAAAAACAAAGTTAAAACTGAACATTCAAGCCATGCAGTGTTTTGCTTAGTGTTCTTCTTCTGTAGCAACTTTGCACCAATTTCCCATCGTACTAATTTACAAATAAGTTACATCCCATTTTCTTTTTCATTCATTCTTTCTTTCATTTTTTTTCTGTTGTAGGCATCATATGATGAAATTAAGGCAGTGATGAAGAAAGCATCAGAAGATCCAGCACTTAAAAAATACCTTGGATACACTGATGAACAAGTTGTGTCCACTGACTTCATTAGCAGCACTTATTCTTCAGTCTTTGATGCGGCGGCTGGAATCTCTCTGAATCCAAATTTTGTTAAGCTTCTAGCCTGGTAAGCAAAAGCATGCACCTTAAAAGTCCTTGAATGTCCTTGAATTTTGAAATAAAAATTCATTAAGCTAGGCCTTGAAATATCTTGAAAATTGCAGCCGGTGCTGGAAAGTCCTTTCAATTTTGGTAGTAACTTTATGCGACCCAGATTCTCAAGTGCTTAAAAGGAACAAACACAGAAAGACCTTCGGGATAAAATTACTCATGTTGTGGAAGAACTAAAAAAGACATAGACTCAAGGCTCTTTTTTGCACTGAATGAAGTCCTTGAAAAATGGAAAATGTGTCCTTGAAAAGTCCTTGAATTTTTTGCTCAAAACAGTATACTTATAACCCTGGTTTTTGTACATGACTTGAGTTGGAAGCAGTTGTTGTTGGGGGGGATGGGGTGCTCCTTGCTGTAGGGCTCGGAAAGTAATGACTCACTTTACTTAAGTTGTGACGGAGTCTGAGTCAGAGTTGTATGAATACAGCTCTCTTGGGAGCTAACAAATACAGCTGAACTTAATCTGCTATGGCATCGCCAGCAGGAAACACTGTACCACCTCCTTGGTTTTTTAGTGGTGCTCCTACTTTGAGGTTGAATGTTGAGTTCTGCAATCTTCAACTTTTGATCCTTAAGATGAACGGTTAATATTAAGTGCCATTTACGGTTTATAAGGGAAGTACAAAGCATTTGTTTTTAGGTCATCTTTGATTTAACAACCTTTGAACAATCCTTCAATTACTTGATCCAGTTAGAGGGTGTGAAGATACTGTAAAATCCTGAATGCATTTTAATGTGTCATGAAGTGTTTGTATTCATACTGTCTGACCCTCTGTTAGTAATAACTTGGTTAAATTATTCGTAGGCAAGGTCAGTAAAATCGTTCTCAAAATTTTGTCTGTCTTTCTTCCCAGGTATGATAATGAATATGGCTACAGCCACCGTGTTGTGGATCTTATCAAGTACCTTGCTGGCAAGGAGTGAACACCTTGTTCCAGGCCCATCGTAATTTAAATTCCTCAACCCACCGTGTTAACGTTAGTTCAGTTTGCACCTTTTTCTTTCTTGATTATGATTCTCAAGATTAAATGGAAGTTTTTTTGTAACCGTTTCCTGTGGTCCAAAAGATTTTCTTAGACTCTCATGGTGGCTCCAGCCAACATAATTGTTAAAACAATTTTGATCAGCCTTGGCTGACTCATCGTAAGAAAATCGTCCAGGACAATGGGCATAGTTGCAGAAAATTTCACTTGATCTTGAGTTGCTGCTGCTAGCTTAGACTTCCAACCACTTGTTCAGAGGTTAATGCTGCAGTGAAGTAAAACAGGGACTCTTTTAAGATCAACAACGAGGCGCGATTTAGTAGAAAGTTTGTGCCGGTGGCTTTAAGTTGCTTATATCAGGCCTAAAACAAGCACTGTTTGGGCAATACAAAGGTGTCAAAACATGATGTAACTTTAACATTGTGGTGAAATCTTTGCGGTGGGCCTCATCATCAGTTCAGAAAATGACGGAAATCTGACTTGTCATGTGTGGTGTGTTTGTTGTCTGCTATCGTTCCCTAGGAATAGAAAAACTGGATTGGAAAAAGAAAACCAAAAAGAGTGGGATTGCTCCCGTCCTCTGGCTAATGTTCACTGAGAAGAAATGTGTTGTTGATGTTAAGATAAACTGAGCTGGAATAAAGCAACTTTCATCTGAACCATCAGTTATAATTTCTTTAATAATACTTTAGTAATACTTTGTCAGCAAAAAAACCTTGGGTGCACTTCGGTAATGAACATTTTGCCCCAAGTGAGACACAAATGTTAACGTTAAGTTAGGGGAGGGGTAGGTGGGCAGTTTCCCAGACCTAAATTTATCTGACATATGCCATCAGCTAACCCCAGGGGGACCCCGGGCTAACCATCGGATTGTAAGTCGCAGTGGAACCTCGATGTAACGAAGGGCTAAGCTGGACTGGCAACATGTGTTCGCTGTAACGAGGTTTCGTTACATCGAGGTTCTTTTCCATAAATTTTACTATTAGAGGGGTAAAGAAAATCGTTCGTTGTACCGAGGACTTTGTTATATAGAGGTTTGTTACATCGAAGTTCCACTGTCTAAATTTTTCCCAGCCCTTTTTCCTTCTAACTGAAATATTGTTCTGAATATTACACTCCCCTGGGGCAGGGAACCCAATTTATTCACTTGTATTCTCAGAGATATTCCCCTGGATTGCCCAGGGTACTATCCCTGGGGTAAGCTAATAAGATGCACATAAAGTGATATTTTTTAAATTGATTTGTTGTGACAAAGATATTTTTTTTAAGGGTACCCCCTTCAAAGAAGATACATTCGCGCGAAAAAACGAACATTTGCGCATACATCAGTTTCAATAACGATTAATTTTTGCATTTTAGTCAACATTCAATAACATTTTGGGGCATGATGTATTTATTCTTGAATTTGTGATGTAGTTTTTTCCTCATCGAACGAAAACATGATCAATGGTAATTGCTTCTTTGAACGAATATTAGAAAAGTTTAAATATATACCCTCTGTCGATTTGTGCCTTGTGAATCTCATCTGTTGACACTTGCAATGCAAACTGCTTACAATGCACCCCTACATTTTGGCATTCGCAAAAGGGCTTCAAACGATTTTGAAATTTCTTAAAGGCCGGTATCACCATTTGCTGGTCTTTTCCTAGATTTTTTCAAAGCCCGTTTCCGGTTTCTGCTGGTTAAGTGGTCAGTAGGGAAGCCAGAAGTCCGGGCAGAGCGGCTGAAAAAGTCACATTCTTTGAAATGCCTTGAAACTTTTTTACGGTTAATATTAATCTGCCTTTTTGACGGTTGACAGTAAAAAAAAAAAAAGCGGCAGCACCTTCAGGAAACCGCCGGCATTAGGCTTTCGCGCGAGAACCAGCGCCTTGCATTTTCCAGGGTTCAATCTTGTTTCCACGCCTCCTTTTGTTCCTTGTTGAGATTTGCATGAACTACATGAGCAGTTCTTCTACCCGATTCGTGAGTTCTTTTCGGCTAGCGAGAGCTCCGTTATATTTTCTTTGCGAGACATCAACTTGTCCTCCAGGAGACACGTGATATGGCATGATTTTGTCTTCTGTGGGTGTTGTGAGTTCTAAGTCAGGGTAAATCAGGGGCACCCAACAACAATTTTAGGAAAATATCTGTTCGAAAGACGATTTGAGATCTAGAATTTTAGGAACATTTGTTGAAAAATTTCTTGCTTGCCTACCTCTCCTAGAATTTTTGAACATCCAACAAATGGTATAATTGCCCATTTTTAACGGATTTTTACCCTAAAAAGGTCACCTAGAATTTTCCGGAGCCTTTTTTCTGGGCGAAATTTTCGAAAAGCTAAGTTTTGATCACTTGAATTTTCGGATCACTAGACTTTCAGCTAGGATTTCCGAACAGATGAAAAATTTTTAGGGGATAAAAATTTGCCTATATATATCTACTATTTAAATACTAAAACACGTTTAACAATGCTACGTTTAAGTTTTGAACTATGTTCTCGTTGGGTGCCCCTGGTAAATCAGAGTGCGCGGGTTTTTTTCAACAGAGCTTCTCTAGTTGTTACGCCATACTGAAGAGCTGCAACAAAAGCGAAACAGCTGCCTATATATGGCTGTCGTGTTGATGTCTTGCAAAAAGTAATTTTCCCTAGCATTGTATAGTGTTTTGGTACGTTTAAGCTCAACACATGACGGTCTCCTTGGCTACGATAAATTTGAACAACAAAAAAACATTCCTTATATTTGATTATCCTTTAATGCATTTTCAACAAATCGTTATACAATTCGGTTAGTATATGTTATAAGATCTTATAATTAACGGACCAGAAGAACCTGTAGAGAAAAAAAATGGTACTTGAACTAAGGGCGCGGGGACAGTATTTCCAAAAACACACTAGCTAACAACTAGCAACTGCTGGAAAGAAAATGAAAAGGTATACCGTATAACATAAAAAAACAATTTTGATACCAAAAGGTGAACCATGTTATTAAACTACAATCGGCAATTCAATGATACTACAATACATATGAAAAAAGGTTACAAATTAAAATATATTTACAAGATGAATGTCATTTCAGCTATTATTACAGCTATGATTTTATAATTTATTGTTACATTCACAGAAAAGACAAACTACATTTGAGGGCAACCTAATGCCCCCCCCCCCTTCTCCCGGGCAACTACAAAAGCTCAACAGTGACAAATACCTCACGAGATGGGGTTGTTCGAAAAATTACGGTTTCTTATTCTACATAACCAATTTGAACTTTTCAACAGTAATTATACCACTGGTAATTAAGATCATATTATATCTTGTCAAAAACCTGGATTCGGTTGTTTTCCTTATCACACACAACTATCCTTCCATCACCAAGATTTGCTGTAGACCTTGGAAAGTTAAACATTCCTCTCTCACTACCTTCACTTCCAAACTTTGTAACAAACTTTCCACTCAGTTCAAATAACTGAACTCTGTGATTTCCTGCATCACAGACCATTAGTAATCCTTCTTTGTTAAATGACAAGTAATGGGGCTCATTGAACTCTCCATCCTTGTTTCCCTGTTTTCCAAATTGAGAAATACGCTTCCCCCCCAGATCAAACATTTTAATGGAATCATCACCGTGATCTGAGACTATAAAATATTGACCGTGTTGGATACAGTGATAGGGTTCGACCAAAGAACCTGCTCTACCAAATTTACGCAAATACCCCCCACTAGAAGAGAATATCTTGATTAATTTGTTACCCAAATCAGCAACAATAATATCACCGTTGCCGTTTATTGATAAACCTTCAGGGTATTTAAGCTGATTAGCAGGACTTCCTTGTTGACCAAACTTACTAAGAAAGTTACCATTCCTGTCAAAGACTTGCACCCTGTGGTTCCAACTGTCTGCCACTACAATATTGCCATGACTATCAAAAGTGATCCCTGTAGGGTTCCAGAACTCACCATTATTGTTACCCCATCTACCAAACGATCTTAAGTGGGTACCATCACTACTAAACACTGAAACCCTGTGGTTCCAGCATTCAGTCACAGCAATTTCATCCTGATCATTCACTGCCACCCCCCAGGGCCAATTAAGCATTCCAACAGACTTACCTTTCTGTCCAAATGACAGCACAGATCCGAAGCGCCTGGTTTGTACCTGAGTCTCAAGAGGACTGTCACGAACATTTGCCCCTTTATTCCCAGCAATTACTTTACTACTTTCTTTACCTTTAGTTCCTGATTGTTGCGCTTTAGGTTCGCTAAAAACAAATTTTACATTACCTATCCCCTCGCTCATGCTCAACAGGTTTATCAGTTTTTTACTTTTAGTGAAACTAAACCGAGGAATACATTCAGTGTCACGGTTTTCTTGGGTGCTCTGTTCCTGTAGGATTGAATCAAATGTTTCATTGAATCCCAGAATTTCAGTGCTAAAGCTTCGTTTCAACAGAGTTTCAGTTTTTTCAATTGCGGATTCAATTATTTTTAATTGTTTTTCCACTTCGTCTTTTTTCTGTGAGAGAGATTCCAGTGATTTTTTCGCTTGATTATCGACTGCATCAAAAACATCTTGTTTTCTCGCTTCGATGATTGCAATAATTTGGTCTACAAAAGACTGCACTTGGCTTTTTACCTCGGTTACTTTCGATTGAAATGCGATGCTTTTTTGGTTGAATTGTTCGACATCCTTTTGTTTTTCCAGTACTTTGTCTTTCAAAGATCGAATCATGGAGTTGATCTGTGTTTTGCGCTCATCAGTAGCTTGTTGCAAGGGCATCTTACCATGACCTTCATGAAGCGTCATGGCACAAGTGCTACAAATGGCGACTTTACAGCCCTTACAAAAGAACTTCAACTCTTCTTTTTCATGGTGTTTCTTCTGACAAAATGCTGGTCGCTCTAATACAGCCTTGATGTCTTGATCTTGAAAATCTTTTAGTGCTAGCGTTCTGTGGTCTTTATTTTCTCGAATCATGTTATGTCCTACAATACATTCTTCACACCAGAAGGAACAACACTGGAAGCAATATAAGGTCTGGGTGCTCCGTTTCTCGCAGTTTCTGCATTTTACGTCGACGGTACCGCACTTTTTAATTGCCAAGACATCTAGCAAGCTGTTTATTCGAAAATTAGTGGGAAGTTCGCTGGGATTTCCACTTCCAGAAATCTGAAACTGTCTCCTGCACTCAGGGCACGTAATTTTACCATGGACGCCGCTCGTTCGTTGAATTTCGTTCAGGCAATGAAGACAGAAACTGTGCAAACAAGGCAACTGCTTTGGATCAGTGAATGTACACATACACACAGAACAGGATACTTCATCATGAAGATTGTCCAGCAAGGTCTTTATATCCATGGAAAAAGTGGGAAACAAGGTTACTTTTTAAAAGTTTGGCTCAGTTGTTGACGAACAAGGGAATGGCTTTGCTAATGAACAATGAAGTCTTGTCTTGTGACCCAGACTAAAGCGGCTCTGTATTATTTACCAATCAAATAGAGTTTCTTGACATGTTTTGATGGTTTGGTGGAGGAATAAAAAACATCGTGTATTTCCGAGAATTGTTAATCAGCTCCTTAAACCTACGGTCAAGGGTTTCCGCGCGAGGTCGTCGTCAAGAAAGTCGGAGCGAGGGCAAAAAAAAGATTGATGAAGAATCTTTCTCTCCCTAAATCGTTCGGAAATATTTGCTTAGCATGCTAAGGCATTGACTATTAAAATTATTTTAATATTTGTGTACATTCAACTAGCCTATGTGTAGCTGCACCCTCCCCTACACGTAGGCACACTGAACACATTATGAAAACACGACTACAATCCTTGGATAGAGTTTCTTGACATGTTTTGATGGTGTGACGAAAGAATAAATAACATCCTGTATTTCCGAGAATTGTTAATCAGCTCTTTGATATAGCTTTCCCTCCCTATATAAAAATCGTTTGGAAAAATTGCTACGCAGGCTATAAAAGAATGGACTACTGAAAGTTTTTGAATATTTGTGAACACCAGAACACTCAGGACATTACACACGCGTACAATTCTTGGACAGATATTAAATGACTGGGAAAGAAAGTCCCCGTTGGCCCAAAATCAGAAGCAAAAAAGTCACGCGAAAGACAAAACGCGCCATTTCCCCATCTTTTATTCTACAGGATGGAGGACGGATTTATTTTCCATCGAATTTTTTCCAGGATAGTGCGCGTTAATCTGGGTGTTTTCAGCAAATACATTTATCAACCTTCGGTCAAGTCTCCTCAGATACTGCGCAACAAAATCCTCCAGAAACAAAGGTAGTTGCATCCTGACGTTCCATTGTTAAGGAACTGATGTTCCTATTTAAGCTTTTCTTCTGATGGAAGTACGTGTTTTTCTTCGAGTAGTTATGTGTATTTCAAAGTCAATTTGCTACGGTAGCCTCTTCAGTTCCACTACGACAACCTATTCAATCGGAATTGTTATAAAATTCCTCATTTTAGAGTCAAAAAACGTTGTTTGTAAAACTCATAGTAGCTGATAATTATCCAGTAATTAAGCTTGTACCTTTGGATCTGTAACAACGAAGTCTGGAACTAAACTGCAATGAACACTCAGCCATGATGGAACCTTAGAGGAGTCCTACACAAAATCGCTCATCATTTATAAATAATAATTTTAAAAATTCATTACAGCTCGTCTCTAACTATTGGACGACAAAGGCCCAAGGTATTGTAAGCGACGACCGATTAGACCCTCGATCTATACGACCTATATGGATACCTTCAAACAAAAATAGAGAACTAGAAATGGAAGAGTTAAGGTGAAACGATAACCTGACAAGTAACCATTGCTCAAGGATACCATAGGGTTAACCTGTGTGGAGAACATAAAAAGGGGACGGGTAGAGAGAAGGGGAGGGGATTAAATGAGGAACCCTATATTGCTAAACAGACTGAAGATAAGTTAAGGACAAGAGGAGAGGGGAGGGGAGGGGATTATAGAGGGGATTAAGGAGACTCCTGCAATGAGGAACCCTATATTGCTAACAGATAAGATAAGATAAGGACAAGAGGAAAGGAGAGGGGAGATAACCTTATCTGCTCCCATGTTCTTTTTCTCCCCTCCCCTTCATCCACTTGCTACGCAGGTTTCACTTGCGTACAGCTTGTAGCACATGCCCTGAAGTGAAGTGTTTTAACAGATATCTACCTTTATAGAATAACGAAGATAGCACGCGCGTTCTGATTGGTTAAAATCCTATGGTTTATTGTGCCGGTAAACTCAAAGAAAACTTAAAGTAATTTTTTAAAAGCAATAGACCACGCTTTCTATGGGTTTACCGGCGTGATAACCCACGCGGGATGTTGGGAGAACACTCAATAACCTTGTAAATCACGAGTCGAGGGGATTATCACGCCGGTAAGTCCATAGAAAGTGTGGTCTATTGCTTAATAAAACTCTTTGTCGTCTGCTTTGGTCGTTTTGGGTCCATATGGACCCATGCATATTATTCTCTCTGGACCTTTTAGGCTTTCAATTCTAGCTATTAAGATGGTAATTAGTAATATCGGCGAGGATAGAGCACATGTCCACGTGTACATCATTTAGCAAATTTTGACCAATCTCAAAGCACCTGACGGCTCAAATTGATTAAGGCTTGGTTCTTTACAAATTCCTCAGAATTTTGAAGGGAAGTGGTCACATGTAACTTTTCTTTTTTTATGATACCGTAAAATTTCGAAAATAAGCCCTTCCATGTATAAGCCCCTTCAAATATAAGCCCCCCAATCCGGTGACGCAAAAAACCCTCCGTTAAGGCGCCCCTCCAAATATAAGCCTCCCGGGGGTCGTACTAGGAAAATTGCCCTCAAAAACAAAGTAAAACAAAGCAAAAATGGTTAATTTACTTCCAACAATAAGACTAGCCCAATCGATTATAAAATATAAGCTCCAGTTCTTATTTTCGGAATTTTAAGGTATCCCAGGTCTAATAAATTAAGGCTAATTATAACTAAGAAATCTTCAAAGTTCATTTGAAAAATTGTTTATAACTGCATCACGTGACCAGCCACGCCCTGTTTTATCTAGAAATCCTTTGGGTCGAAATGGAAACTATGTAGAAAGCAAACGGTAAATTTGCTTTTGTAGGTCCAAACAGTGGCTGTCGATAGTCTTGTTGAAAAAAGATTGGAATGAGACGAAAGTGTCCATATTAAGCGGGTTAAATTAAGAGAAAACTGTGTAAGGGCTTTTTTTTTCCCCGGGGACAAAAAATGAGGTGTCTTCAAGCAAAAGTACTATGAGTTTGTCTTCAAGCAAAAGTACCAAGCGATTTGACAAAAATCCACTTTTCATCAAAAAAACCAACCAAATCTGGCCATTTAATGTCAGTAAAATCAGGTGAAAAAATCGGCAAAGAGATGATTTTTCCGTTTTTTGATTAAAGAGGGGTTCGACTACACTGTTGCCTTGTCCTACAAACTGCTCAGTAGACCTATACGTGGCTCAGATGATCACTGGACATAGCAATGATGGTCCATTCTCCGAGAAGAGACGTAAAAATAGTGTCCTGAATTAGTACAAGCGTGCTAAAGAAAAAAAACATACTTCATATTTGATTATCCTTTAATGCATTTTCAACAAAACGCTATACAATTCGGTAAATATATATGTTATAATTTAACGGACCTGAAGATCCTGACGAGAAAAAAAAAAAGGTACTTGAGATGATCATGAGGGCGCGGGAAAAATACCTCCAAAAATACACTAGCTAACAACTAGCAACTGCTGGAAAGAAAATGAAAAGGTGTGCAATATACAAAACAATTTTGATACCAAAAAATTGAACAACCTTATTAAACTACAATCGGCATTAAATGAGACTACAATAGAATTGAAAAAGGATTACAAAATATATTTACAAGTTGAATGTCATTTATCAGCTATTATTAAAGTCAACAGTGACAAATACCTCACGAACTCAGTATGTTGTTCGCAAAGTTACAGTTTCTTTTTCTACATAAAGAAGGCAATTTGAACGTTTCAAAATTAAAACCACTAGAAAAATCATTTTATAACTGGTCAAAAACCTGGATTCGGTTATCCTTATCACACACAACTATCCTTCCATCACTAAGAGTTGCTGTAGACACTGGCCACTTAAACTCTCCTCTCCCGCTACCTTCACTTCCAAAGTTTGTAACACACTTTCCACTCAGATCAAGTACCTGAACCCTGTGATTATTTTCATCACAGACTATAAGCAATCCTTCTTTGTTAACTGACAAGTAACGCGGCTCGTTGAATTCTCCATCCTTGATTCCCCGTTTTCCAAATTTAGAAATAAAGTTTCCCTCCAGATTAAACATTTTAATGGAATGATTACCACGATCTGAGACTATAAAATATTGACCGTGTTGAATACAGTGAATGGGAGAGACCAAAGAACCTGCTCCGCCAAATTTACGTGAATACTCCCCACTAGAAGAGAATATCTTGATTAATTTGTTACCTTTATCAGCAACAATAATATCACCGTTGCCGTTTATTGATAAACCATGAGGGGATTCAAGCTGATTCTCACGACTTCCTTGTTCACCAAACATACTAAGAAATTTGCCATTCCGATCAAAGACTTGCACCCTGTGGTTATAACAGTCTGCCACTACAATATTGCCATGACTATCAAAAGCGATCCCTTTAGGGCCCTGGAACTCACCATTATTCTGACCCTTCCTACCAAAGGATCTTAAGTGGGTACCGTCACTACTAAACACTGAAACCCTGTTATTACCGAGCTCAGTCACAGCAATTTCATCCTGATCATTCACTGCCACCCCATAGGGAACGTTAAGCACTCCAACAGACTCACCTTTTTGTCCAAATGACAGCACAGATCTGAAGCGCCTGGTTTTTACTTGAGCCTCAAAAGGACTTTCACAAAAATTTGCCCCTTTATTCCCAGCAACTACTTTATTACTTACTTTACCTTTAGTTCCTGATTGTTGCGTTTCAGTTTCGCTAAAAACAAACTCTACTTTACCTATCCCCTCGCTCATGTTCAACAGGTTAATCAGTTTTTCACTTTTAGTGAAACTAAACCAAGGACTACATTTTGTGTCGCGGTTTCCTTGGGTGCCTTGTTCCTGCAGGATTGAATCAAATGTTTCAGGGAATCCCTTGATTTCAGAACTAAAACCTCGTTTTAACAGAGTTTCAGATTGTTCAATTGCTGATTCAATTAATTTCACTTGTTTTTCCACTTCGCCTTTTTTTTGTAAGAGAGATTCCAGTGATTTTGTCGCTTGATTATCAATCACATCAAAAACATCTTGTTTTTTCGCTTCGATGATTGCAATAGTTTGGTCTACAAAAGACTGCACTTGGCTTTTTACCTCGGCTACTTTTGATTGAAATGCGATGCTTTTTTGGTTGAATTGTTCGACTTCCTTTTGTTTTTCCAGTACTTTGTCTTTTAAAGATTTTATCATGGAGTTAATCTGTGTTTTGCCCTCATCAGTAGCTTCTTGCAAAGGCATCTTACCATGACCTTCATGAAGTGTTACAGCACAAGTGCTACAAATGGCGACTTTACAGCCCTTGCAAAAGAACTTCAACTCTTCTTTTTCATGGTGTTTCTTCTGACAAAATGCTGGTCGCTCTAATACAGCCTTGATGTCTTGATCTTGAAAATCTTTCAGTGCTAGCGTTCTGTGTTTATTGTTAGCACGCATTATGTCATGTCCTAAAATGCATTTCTCGCACCAGAAAGAACAACACTGGAAGCAATAGGAGGTCTGAGAACTCCTTTTATCGCAGTTTCCACACTTCACGTTAGCTGTACTACACTCTTTTATCGCCAAGACATCTAGCAGGCTGTTTATTCGAAAATTGGTTGGAAGTTCGCTGGGATTTCCACTTCCAGAAATCTGAAACTGTCTCCTACACTCGGGGCATGTAATTTTACCACGGACGCCGCTTGTTCGTTGAATTTCGTTCAAGCAGTGAAGACAGAAATTGTGCAAACAAGGCAACTGCTTTGGATCAGTGAATGGACACATACACACGGAACAGGATACTTCATCATGAAGATTGTCGAGCAAGGTCTTTATATCCATGGAAAAGGTCGGAAGCAAGGTTACTTTTCATAAAATTTTGGCCTGTAGTTGTTGGCGATCAAGAAGCTTCAAGAGAATGGCTTTGCGAATGCACAATGAAGTCTTGTTTTGTGACCCAGACTAAACATTCTATTATTAACCAATCAAATAGAGTTTCTTGACATGTTTTGGTGGTTTGACCGAAGAATAAAAGTCATCAAATGTATTTCCGAGAATTGTTAATCAGCTCTTTGAAGCATGGATAAATTGCCGGCAAGCATTTCCGCGCGAGGTGGTCAAGAAAGTTGAAAGTAGGAATGAAGGAGCTTTAGGTACATAAATTAATCAACCTTCGGCCAAGTCATCTCTGATATATACTGTCCAACAAAATACTCCAGAAAAAATGGCAGTTGCAGAAAATTTTTACCATTAAAATCTTTAGTTTCTGTGGGCCTTTGGGCCATGCAAGCTTAGACTTCCAACCACAGAGGGGTTGAAGGTGCAGTGAAGTATAACTGGTATAACAGGGACTGCTTTTCCTTAAAACCAAGGTGTGCTAGCTTATAGAGTATAATTTAGCGTGCAGGTGCCTTGAAGGTCATGTTAAGATGCCTTTGCAATTAAGAAACTACCGACACACGCAAAACAAAAGATTAACTCCGTGATAAAACTTTTGAAAGACAAAGTACTGGAAAAACAAAAGGAAGTCGAACAATTCAACCAAAAAACAATTTCAATTTAAAGACCGAGGTAAAATGCCAAATGTAATCTTGTGTCTAGACAAAATTATTGTGATCATGGAAGCGAGAAAACAAGATGTTTTTGATGCGGTCGGTAATCAAGCGACAAAATCACTGGAATCTCTCTCACAGAAAAAAGACGAAGTAGAAAAACTGAAACTGTGTTGAAACGAAGTTTAGTACTGAAATCCAGGGATTCAGTGAAACATTCGATTCAGTCCTGCAGGAACAGCACCACAGAAAACCGTGACACTGAATGTATTCTTCGGTTTAGTTTCACCAGGAACTCATAAGGGGTTATCAGTTTCTGGTTTCACTAAAAGTGAAAAACTGATTAACCTTGTGAGCATTAGCGAGGGGATAGCAGAGGCGTAGCGTCCTTTACGCAAATACGCACGTGAGTACGTGAGAAATTGGTAAGATTTTTTTTAAAGGTTTTCTGAGTGTCGACGTGACTTGACTTTGTATTGTGCAGATTTTTTTCTTGTCTGTCTCTCTGTTATTCAGCATCGTCTTTTAATATCCGTAAAATACAGCAGTTTGAGTAGTGAAATGTGATAAATTCGAAAAATTCTTGAATAAATTTTGCCTTCAGGCGATCCCACAATACATTGCATATTCATGAAAATCGAACCTGACTGATTATCATTCCTTTTAAGATTTATCTGCAAAGTTCTCCTATTCAAAAGCCTTTTCATTTTTTTAGTTTTCTCTCTCTCTCTTCATAAATGTCGAAAAAGTCTATCAAAGACTACTTTGATGTCGCTCACCTGGAAAGTCATGGACTAAACCATGCCGAAGATAATCCACGTAAGCAGATGCACGTTTGGCGCGGTATCAAAAAGAATTTTGCAAGAAATTTACTCCTAGCGAACCGATGTAGTTTTTTTTTGAGTGACAAATTTTTACAAAAAAGGCGCCTTGCCTTGTGTTGGTAAATATTCTTGTACCAGCTCAAAGAAGAACGTTTTAAAAGCTTTTTTTGATATCTCGTTTTATTGTAAACAAGCCTGTAAACAAGCCTGTAAACTGGCAGTTATGTATTAAAGGAAAGCAAAAACGTTATTTTGAACGAAGTTTTAAAAAGTACATGAGCCCCTGTACGTACTTGTCAAAATGGTCACCCTACGCCCCTGGATAGGTAAAGTAGAATTTGTTTTTAGCGAAACTAAAGTGCAACAATCAGCATCTGAATTGTCCGTAGTTGTCATTTTTTACGGACACCTCAGTGAAGTGCTCTCTTTCGAATAATCTTTTTTTACTAATTTAAATTAGTACTATTATGGTACAAGTCAAAAATTGAGATGTTTTATTCTCATTTGTTTTTATCAAGTGCGTGCAGGGCCGGCTGCAACGGAGACTAAGGCCCCGTCCACACGTATCCGGAGATTTTTGTATCCGCAAATTTTTTATGCGGATACACCTAGCGTCCAAACGTGTCCGCCGTATACGCTCGGTGTATCCGGAGATTTCTGTATAAGCTTTCCAGAGTGGAAATTTCTGTATACGCTCTGTATCCGGATACGTGTGGACGCTCGTATCCGTATATTTTTGTATACGCTGACGTCACAGTATCAGAACCAGTCTTAATGCGCACGCTCTGTTGACTAATCCTTTGAGATGTCCGGATACGAATCGGATACGTGTGGACGGTCGTATACGATTCGTATACGCTACGTGTGGACGCAGATATTTTTGTATCCGCATGAAAAAATTGGCGGATACAAAAATCTCCGGATACGTGTGGACGGGGCCTAAAACAGACTGGTCGTGCATGGTTTGATCAGCGTGCTTTCATTGTTAAACGTATAACTTTCTTTTACTTGTTTTTGTTTGTTTTGTTTTGTTTTTTTACTTTATTAACTTTTCTAATTTCTTGTGAGTTTAAACACGTTTGTATTTTGGGTTTCTTCCCTCTACCTTCCTTGTAATTTTCAGGGGGTTCATTAAGATTTTCATCAGGAAGGCAACTGAGTTTGACACCCGGGCAAAGAATTGGCAAGGCCCTCCGGGCCTTGAACACTAGGGGGGTCCGGGGGCATGCTCCCCTGGAAAATTTTGAAATTCTATGGTCGCAGGGATGTGTTTTCCTGCATTTTGAAGCTGCAGACAATGACTTTCAACAACCGAAAAAAGACAACTTTTCTAGACAATTTAATCATGATTAAGTGATTACATGAAGTGCGGCAGACATACATTTGGAGAGACGAAGAGTTTTCGCTAGAAGGTGAATCGCAAAAGTATTAGTTTAACAACTTATCTTTAAAATTTCAATGACTAGACGGGAGGAGCACTGTTTTAACGTGAACGCACCGAAAATTAATTCATTGGCATAAACCATAAGACGAATAAAAAATCACGCCTGGTTTCGTTGAACATGATGATTAACCCATTCAATATATACAGGCAAGTAAAAGGTTAAATCACAAAAAAGTCTACTCACCTCTTGGCTTTTTCTCTACTGGAGGCCCTTTGGTTGAAGCCGAAAAATAATTCGCTATCGAACGCGTTCTTTTCTGGGCCGCCATGCTCACGTGCTCGCAACACTGATACATTTCAGATAGTCGTTTATGAAGCACAGTTCTTTTCGCAATGTGTTATGGAGCGATTCTTGTTTTTAACACATAACGAACGAGGGGATTTCATGCCTCGTTTAATAAAGTGGAAATTGCACAGCAAAGTATGTTTTACACTCGATAAGACTCATCAAGAAAAGGGCACTATTGTAACTTAAAACTGTTTTTGATCGTTCCTTGTATTGAAAAAATCCTTTGAGATTTAAAGCAGCCGGGCGAAGTCGTGTTCACAGCCGGTCAATTTGCCCAGTGCCCGGCCCTTAATGAACCCCCCCTTTTTTTTTTCGTTTTTCCGTTTTTCTTTCTTTCTTTTAAGTCTCATTTTTTTTTTGCAATTTGTCTTCTCGTTTCTAGTCTGGTCCAATAAAGGCCTACAAAAATTTGTAAATAAGATCCCGGCTCTTCCCAGCCTTGTATTTTAACACAAAAAGTAAAAGTGCGCAAATTAGTTTTCATCTGCTTACCCTATTGTTGCTAACAATACGTGTTGCACTTGTCTTTATAAAAATCGTTCGCCAAATCTCCGTCATAGCTAAAAACCAGTCATGTTAAGAATGGTAAAAAAATTGTCCTGTTTTATAGATCAAAGCTTATGATAGTATAGCGCAGCAGATAAAAAGCGCGCGAAAAATTGCAAAAGGGGTGGGTATGCTGCGTTTGTTTGCAGTTCTGAATTCACATTCAAGGTAAATAGTGGATGAAAACTGGTCATCATTAGAAACGGCAAACCGAAGACGAATTTACCGTGGTAGCTGTACCATTGTTTGGTACAGAATCATAGTACATTTTGCATTCCGCTGGCCAAGTTTCAAGCGCGAATTTTTCTCTTCAAATACCTCCCTAAAGAAACACTGATTCACAAAGCGAGGCCGATTCCAGTTTGGAATAAATCGGCTGAATTCAAGCTGAGTGCGGATTCAAAACATTGTGAATCCTATTTTGGTAGGAAACACAGAAACGTGTGGTTCCGTATGCTTTCGTCTAAAGGGATACACGTTTTCCCAGCTCAATTTTTATTAAATTAGACAAAAAGGTATTTCAAAGGATACGCAATAATAAATCTTTGAGTTTCGCGTGATCTTCAAGGTCGTTCGAGAAGTAAATTGTCAGTCCATGTCCATGTGTTTCAAGCGCTGTAAAAAAATATCCAAAAAATAGCAAAAGGATTTCAAATATTCCAATTCAGTCAGCTTGTCAAATACATGAGACCATTTTCATTCAACTTTTTGCCAGGCCAGACTTGAATTTGTAGGAATGTAAATTAATTCGGAGCAAACCTTCTTCTTAGGCGATCCTCCTTCAGCAGTGTCCAACGCTTTTCTTTCTGTGGCTCATCATTTACTTTCTTCCTGTGGTTCCCCTCTGATTTAGAGTCATTGTCCTCGTCAAAGTCATTAATATCATCATCATTAGTTCTATTCTCATCATCATCATTGTAGTCATGTGGTCATCGTTTTTCACATCTCCTGCAGTATCTTCAACAACAAATAATGGTCGCATATAATAATATAGTGTCCTTACCTTTCGAAGTGTTTGATTTGAAATAGGCTGTAACTAGTTGTTTATTTTCCTTTGTAGCTAAGTAAGGTTTGTCTAAATTAGTGTCAAAAGTTAATGTCATTTCGTTGGCTGGAAAATACGGTAAGAAAGACTGCCGGCTTAACCTGTTAATTGTGCAGCTCTATAAGTTCCAATCTGGTCCAAACTCAAAATTAAAGAGGAAACATGAGAAGGAAGAGTAGACAAGGTCAACCCAATAACTCCTCGATGTCTGATGAAACGTTGCTCTTAGCTGCTGCCGACAGTTTTCTGGTCAGCATTCACGCACTCAAAAAAACCAGTGCGCTCCAAACTTTGTTTTCGTTTCCGTTGCCTGTGTAGTAACACATACGTAATACTGTACACAAAATTTGCCGATCTCTTCGAGCAAAGCGGTTCCACAAAGGTTCACATTGAGGTAAGTTTCTTTTCTTTACTTAACTTGTCATGTATAGAAAAAGCCACTCACTGTTCGATGCTTTTGAGTTCTTGAATAAAACCTGCGGAAAATGCAACAATAATTGAATGAAAAAAGAAAAAAAGCGTAATGACAAAGCTTAGCAAGGGTTCGAATCCAGTTTTTTTTAATACAGCTCAGAATTTAATTCCGCACGGCAAGCTACTTTATCAAGTGACACATGGCCTACAGCGCAGGCGCATTTTACCAACAAGTGAGCCGCGCTAAGTATGTAGCTGTCTGTGTGTGATTGTGAAAGTAAACTAACAGCTCATTAAAATGGACGTCTGAAGTTGTCCCCTCCCCTTACGTTCTACAAGGCCGACGCTTCTCTCGGGCGACAGTAATAGCCGGTCCAACGGTCGTCTCAAAGAGTTATAATAAGTGTAACACTATTAAACAGAGGGAGTTCCAGTACGCGCTCCCTGAAAACACCTGCAGTGACCTAATTTGGTCAATTTGACTTCACGCGTGAGGAGTCTGGGACGGTACAGAAACGAATTGAACTCTGGGACAGTTTTGGGGACCGATCGCCCTGTTGCAAGGTTGCGCAGGAAAGCGGGTGAAAATTCACCATCCAAACCCACCTCATCCTCACCCCCCTCCGCAAACCGTCCAACAGTGATATTAGACACAGTACAGACCTAGTTCATGCCTTAAAAGATCTTAAATGGCGAATGTGTGGAAAATTATCCAGAATACTTCGGGGAATTAACCTTGTTTAGCTCACCCTAAGATGGGACAAATTATTAGCAGTTTTCCACCAGTTCTTATCATCTCTGATCCTTGTCACCCGTAGGAACCTGATTGATATTCCATCATCTGTGTGAGTATTTACTGAACTCTGCTCCTGTTACTCTCCCATACTGGGGCTTTCTGCAGAAACAAAAATACAAGTCAGAATGTATATTTTCGTCCGACGGGAGGGCTTTCCAATGGCTCAGCCTTCCTGAGAGGGAATTTTTGCCGCCAGCGACCGCACTCTCGCTCTCAATGAAGGGAATAGAACTCTAGTGCGAATTTCCACCAGCTGCTGATGATAATAAAACAAGCCCAATTAAGCAAGATCACTGTGTGACGGCAATTTTGCTCAGACAGAATCGCAAATTTCTTATTTAGGACAAGTTGTGACCAGTAACGTTCCATGGTTAAGGAACTGATGTTCCTATTTGAGCATTTTATCTGATGGAAGGAGGTCACCGTGTTTTTCTTTGAGTTGTTCAAGTGCATTTTAATTTCAATTGGCTACGTTTTATTCCTTTGCAACTTCCTATTAAACTCGAAAGTGTTAATTCTCATTTTGGAGTGAAGAAACGTTCTTTCTAAACCTTATAGTAGTTGATAATTATCCAGTAATAAAGCTTGTACCTCTGGATCCGCGATAACGAAGCCGGGAACAAAACTGTGATGAACACTCAGCCATAATGGAACCTTAGAGGGGTCCTACATAAAATCACGCATCATTCTTTAAAATCATTACATCTTGTCTGTTTTGATTACCAACCTATTGGAGGCCAGAAGCCCATGGTAAACGATAACCAATTAGACCCTCCAAGAACTAAATGGACACCCTCAAATCCGGTGGGCACTCCCGTATAAAAAGTGGCGGCGATGTTCGTCGGAGAATTCAAATTAAACCCTTAAAAACGACTCAAAGTAATCGTCTGATTAATGTCGACCAATGTCGGTGTGGCTAAAGCTTACGCTGACCCCGGCCCTAAGGGAGATTTCTGTGTGGTCATCGTCAGGGCATTTTTTGTATAAAGGTCTTTATGCACAGTACTAAGCGATACCTGAATGGGCAAATATAGTAACTTTCCATCCCGAACACCCTAAGTGAGACCAATATCTGCAATTTACACCCCAAAGCACCGAGACGACGATTGATCGAGGAACATTCCCGTCACTTTTATATGGAGTCCCCCGGGCCCTCAAAGAAGAGTTAAGGAGAGAAGTTATCGTTGCTCAAGGATACCATAGGGTTTACCTGTGTGTGGAACAGAAAAAGGGGATGGACAGGGAGAAGGGGAGGGGATTATAGGGGAAATTAAGGAGACTCCTCTATGAGGAACCCTATTTTGCTAAACAGATACCGTAAATCCTCTATTAAGCTTATTTATTTGAAGCCTATTTGAGGGGATTGATTAATAGAGACAGTGGGGGTTATTTGAGATGGGGGGTGTGCTTATTTAATTTAGAAAAGACGATGGTATCATTTCTTCATAAAGAACTAGAATACAAAGTAGAGAAGCCCAAGAACAAGAAGTTAAGGTTGGAGGTCATGCAACAGAGGATCAGAATCAAATCCGAACTACCAGTTGGTAAATAAACCATCCCGGATCAGTCCACACGAAGTTAAACTCAGACTGTCCAACCGTTTGAGTACGTAAAATGGGGACATTTTTTTAAAATAATATACGAATCGCATCACGTGAGCGTTGAGGGTGCGAGTCCCCAGTGGGGTCTGGAAGCATGCTACCCCAGAAAATTGTGAAATTTTGAAATTTTAATGCTCTGAAACTCTATTCTTGTGTTCTTAGAGGGCGATTTCTTTCTAAAATGCTCGCTAACTGTTTTTCTCCTATTTTTATTTGCGTGTTTTCACATACAAGTACTCGATTTTGTTTTATATTCTAGGTTGCATATTTAAGTTTTCTGGGTATCAGTTTCAATTAATTACACTCTGTTAGGTGCTCTTGTGTATTTATCAAAATAAAATCGTGATTTTTGCTATCCCGATCGCACATTGGTCGGGATTCGGGATTTTCAAACAAAATCGGGAGAATCCCGACGAGATCGGGATGGTTGGACAGTGTGTAAACAGTCATGATTGATTAATACAGTCTATAATTTATTAGTGAAGAATAATAAGGGGGAGGGGAGACTTAAATGAGAGGGGGGTATTTAAGAGGGAGGACTTAATAGAGGATTTATGGTAAATAAGATAAGGTCAAGAGAAGTGGAGAGAAGAGAAGAGGAGAGGAGAGGAGAGGAGAGGAGAGGAGAGGAGATCTGCTCCCATGTCCTACCTCTCCCCTCCCCTTCATGCGCTTGTTACGCAAGTTACACTTGGGTTCAGCGTGTAGTACACGCATTGAACTGAAGCGTCTATGGTCGGTTTCTACCTTAAAACGAAAAGATAAGCTAACCCTGTAGAGCGTTTGACTGTAGGATGGTGAGGTGCAGGAGGCCGGACCAATACTGAGAGTCCTAAAATAACTAAGGAGGAGGGTACAGTCAAACCCCATTACTACAGACACTGAGGGGGGCATAGAAAGTGTCCTTATTAAGGGGGTTGAATCAAGAGAAAATGTAAGGGATTTTTTCACCGGGGACAAACAATGAGGTGTCTGTATTAAGCGGGATTTGACTGTCCTGTCTTGTCCTGTAAACTGCTCAGTAGACCAATACTTGGCTCCGCTGCTGATCATTGGACATAGAAATGGTGGTCCATTCACTCTCCGAATAGGGAGGTAAAAATAGTGTCCTCAATATAGTACTCTGGTGCTAAATACATTTAAACTTGAATGAAGGAAACTGGAATGTTTAACTCCAACACATGACGGTCTCATTGACAACGATAAATTTGAACAAAAAAAAACATTCTTTATATTTGATTGTCCTTTAATGACGCTTTAATGCGTTTTCAACAAATCATTATTATACAATAATAATATATGTTATAACTAAAGAACCTGAAGAACCTGTTGAGAAAAAAAATGGTACTTGAGCTAACGGCTCGGGAATAATATTTCCAAAAATACACCAGCTAACAACTAGCAACTGCTGGAAAGAAAATGAAAAGGTATACAACATAAAAAAGCAATTTTGATACCAAAAAAGTGATCTACCTTATTAAACTACAATCGGTGCCCAATTAAATGAGACTACAATACATTTGAAAACAACGTTACAAAATATATTTACAAGTTGAGTGTCATTTCAGCTGTTATTACAGCCACGATTTTGTAATTTTTTGCTACGTTCACAGAAAAGACAAACTGTTTGTGAGGGCAACCTAATGCCCCCCCCCCTTCGACCCCCCTCCCCCCCCTCACGACAAATAGAAAAGGTCAACAGTGACTCAGTGACAAATACCTCACGAGATGGCGTTGTTCGAAAAATTAAGGTTTCATATTCTTGATAACCAATTTGAACTTTTCAACAATAATTATACCACTGGTAAGATCTATTATATCTTGTCAAACACTTGGATTCGGTTGTTATTCATTTCACACACAACTATCCTTCCATCACTAAGATTTGCTAAAGACCTTGGAAACCTGAACTCTCCTCTCTCACTACCTTCACTTCCAAACTTTGTAACAAACTTTCCACTCAGTTCAAATACCTGAACTCTGTGATTTTCTGCATCACAGACCATTAGCAATCCTTCTTTGTTGACTGACAAGTAACGGGGCTTATTGAACTCTCCATACTTGTTTCCCTGTTTTCCAAATTTAGAAATAAATTTTCCCTCAAGATCAAACATTTTAATGGCATGATCACCCGCATCTGAGACTATAAAATATTGACCGTGTTGGATACAGTGAAAGGGACCGACCAAAGAACCTGCGCCACCAAATTTACGTAAATAGTTGTGACTAGAGGAGAATATCTTGATTAATTTGTTATCGGTATCAGCAACAATAATATCACCGTTACCGTTTATTGATAAACCTTTAGGGTATTGAAGCTGATTATCACGACTCCCTTTTTCACCAAACATACTAAGAAAGTTACCATTCCTATCAAAGACTTGCACCCTGCAGTTATTCCTGTCTGCCACTAGAATATTGCCATGACTATCAAAAGCGATCCCTTCAGGGTACTGGAACTCACCATTATTCTTACCCGACCTACCAAACGATCTTAAGTGGGTACCGTCACTACCAAACACTAAAACCCTGTGGCTACCCGACTCAGTCACAGCAATTTCATCCTGATCATTCACTGCCACCCCCCAGGGACGGTCGAGCATTCCAACAGACTTACCGTATCGTCCAAATGACAGCACAGATCTGAAGCGCCTGGTTTGTACCTGAGTCTCAAGAGGACCGTGGCTGTCACGAACATTTGCCCCTTTATTCCCAGCAATTACGTTACTACTTTCTTTACCTTTAGTTCCCGATTGTTGCGATTTAGGTTCGTTAACTACAAATTCTACATTACCTATCCCCTCGCTCATGTTCAAAAGGCTAATCAGTTTTTCACTTTTAGTAAAACTAAATCGAGGAATACATTCAGTGTCACGGTTTTCT